ACCTTGCATGTGTGTATCTTGATAACGAAATAATAGTAATGTAAATAAGTAATGTTATAATGGAATATCCATATCGACTTTTGAGTCTATGCACCCATAAAGATTGATTATGTGTAATTGTAATGGTTTTCATAATACTTTCAAGTAAGTTTAATTTCACGCCAGATTTCTTTCTTTTTCCTCTTCTTCTCCCTGTCCTTCTTCTTTTCTTTCTTTCCTCTTCTTTTAAACGGGGTGTGGGTGAACGTCATCCGTGCCCGTACTGGGAGATGCATTTTGTATGTCGGCGAAAGGGTGCGTCATAGTTCAGTTATTTTTAGGAGCCACTTTGCTCTGTCTCCACGTCTGCAGTACAATAAATTCCGCATGAAAAATACGGGCCTGACGCAATATAAAGGACTTGAGAAGACTAGCGTGTCCTTAGAGTATTTGTCTGTGGCTCGGGAGTGTGTTTGTGTCCTTGCGTGCGGCCGGGCTCTGCTTTCGGCTCATTGTCTTTGCTTTCGCTCTTTCGTGATGATGCATGTGATAACCGCGTAGGATATATATATATATATATGTATATATATATATATATATATATATATATATATATATATATATATATATATATATATATATATATTTATGTATATATATATATATATATATATATATATATATATAAAATATATATATATATATATATATATATATATATATATATATATATATATATATATATGTGTGTGTGTGTGTGTGTGTGTGTGTGTGTGTGTGTGTGTGTGTGTGTGTTTTGTGTGTGTGTGTGTGTGTTTGTGTGTGTGTATGTGACTGTGGGTGAAGGAAAATGTATCTTTTCATTTTTAACTACCTTTATTTTCCTTGTTTTCTTGTTTCTTCATTGTTCTCCTTCCCTTTCCTTGTTTCTCGTCTCTTACCTCTTTTTTAGTGTTCCGTTTAGAAGACGGCGCGGGACTGTTGCAAGCCATCTCTCTGGCTCGAGAAAGATACTTATCGGTATCATGTGTTTCGGCGCGCGAGGCCCATGACCCGAGAATAGAAATGCGGTGAATTTGCGGGTTTTTGAAACGCGCTAATGGGAGTAGGGGGGTAGGGGGGGTAGAGTGGGGTTGATAAAAGGGTGGAGTGGATAGGGGAGGAAGGGGGGGGTGTAAAGGGAATACATAGGAGGAGGAAGGAAGGGAGGGAAGGAGAGAGGGGGAGGGGTGGAAAGCAGTTGCAAATCCATTGTGTAGCCCGGAGGTGTAGCCTCGGGGCATGGGGAGGCGGCAAGTGGGCTCCATTAGCAGCTGCCACGGGGCTCCATTACTTAGGCGTTCGGGGATTTGCCAGGGCGCCGCTGATGCCCTTTATAAAGAGGAGGGCGGTGGGGCGGGGGTGAGGGGGTGGAAGGGTAGTGGGGAAAGGGGGTAGGAGGCAGAGGAAGGGAGAGAGGCGGATAGCGGAGAGAAGAGGGAAAGGGAAGATGGGAGATAAGGGACGCATAGAGGAGGTGGAAGAAGAGGGCGATTGAAGTAGAGGGAGGTAAGGAGCGAGAGGGAAATGAGGGTCGAGGGCGAGGAATACGACGCTGAACGGGCGAAAGGCGAGGAGAAAGTGTCAGACGATTGCGAGAAAGGGGGGAGGGAAGGAGAATGAGAAGAGTAGGAAAAAAGATAAGGATAACAAAGAGAGAGATAAAAGGAATAGCTCGTCATAGAAGGCACGGAGGAGAGGGAAAGGAATGTAAAGACAAGCAAAAAAAAAAAGAATTAATAATAAAGCGATAACGCCATCGTTCGAAGTGTATGGGGGGGGAGGGGGAGGGTCCCTAGGATGGAGAGGGGACCGATACGGATATTGTGAGGGGAAGGAAGATTCATATAGATAGATGGGGATAGATGGGATGGCCGTGTGATAAAAAGAGGAGGGCGATGATGAGGGTGAGAAGGCGAAGATGATGATGATGGTAGCGTTGCCAGGGGAGAGGCTGGTTAGATTGCGCTGGAAGAAGGAGAGAGCATGAGGAGAAAAAGAGGAAAGGAAGAGAGGAAGGATGGGGAAAGAAAGAGAGAAGGGAGGGGGGCGGAGGGAAAGGCAGATGGAAACAAACATAAAGAAAGAGAAAAAGAAAGTAACAGCTTGTTAAAACAAAAGTGTTTTGTTTGTAGAACAACACGGTAACTTTCTCCAACGACCCGTTCGCCATAGCGGGGAAGTTATGCATCAGGTATGTATATTTATGTAAACTAGAATTTATTTTATTGTGTCTAGACGAAAGTCTCTCTCTCTCTCTCTCTCTCTCTCTCTCTCTCTCTCTCTCTCTCTCTCTCTCTCTCTCTCTCTCTCTCTCTCTCTCTCTCTCTCTCTCTCTCTCTCTCTCTCCCCCCCTCTCTCTCTCCCTCTCTCTCTCCCTGTCTCCCCCTCTCTCCCTCCCTCTCTCTCACTCCTCTCCTCTCTCTCCCTCCTCTCTCTCTCTCTCTCTCCTCTCCCTCTCTCTCTCCTCTCCCTCCCTCCCCTCTCCCTCTCCCTCTCCCTCTCCCCTCTCTCTCTCTCTCCCTTCTCTCTCCCTCCCTCCCTCTCCCTCTCCCTCTCTCTCCTTCTCTCTCCCTCCCTCTCCCTCTCCCTCTCCCTCTCCCTCTCTCCCCTTGAAGTCCAGCAGAGGTTGTGGGTGGCGGGCAAAAGGCTTTGTGGGACTAGGTTTTTTTCCCTTTAGTTTTGTAAAAGATTTTCCAATAGGAATTTGAAATTGTAATGTTAGCTCCCCCATTTGAAGTTACGGCGTTTTTTAGCCAGTCGCTTGCATACGCCAGTTGCAATTTTTCACCGATGCCACAAAAGGATTATGGTTGTGTTGCCATTACTTCGAATGAGGGAGGGGGGAAGCGGAGAGAGAGAGAGAGAGAGAGAGAGAGAGAGAGAGAGAGAGAGAGAGAGAGAGAGAGAGAGAGAGAGAGAGAGACTGAGTGTGTGAGTGAGGAAGATAAGAGAGGTTTACGCAAGAAAGGATTTTGTAAAACACCTTTACCCTTGATAACCGCTGCAACCGATTGCACACGGCAAAAAGCAACGGAGCAAGTGAGAGTGAGAGGGGATCAAAAGAGCCACTTGGAGTTGTTAGAAAATAGCCACAAAAGCGCCTCTGAAAATAGTGTTATATTTTTGTGAAAAATGGCTATGAAAAGTATAATGATAATGAGAACTTATGACCTATAGAAATCATATTGATTGTTTATTGATTTGAAATGTATCACGTATTGGAAAAAAGGATAGCGGTGGTAGTAAGTGGCAACACCCAAACATAAGGCCTTATTAAAGTCTAGGCCTTAAATGATAATAATGATACTGTCGTGACCCAGCTCTTACGAATCTGACCTTCACCCACATTCACTTCCCTAACCTTTAGCTTACTTCCCTAGAGCCCGTTCACGTGGGGCGGGGGAGTGGGAGAGGGGAGAGGGGAGGGGTGGAGCTGCAAGTATCGGCTCGGAAACACGTTCGGCGGCGATTTGTATGTTGCAGTCGAGTGGCGCGGGAATGCGAGCGCGCGTGCGTGAGCGGCGTGCCCTCCACGTGGTGCTAAGATGCCTTGCGATGAGTCAGCTGGTTGAGGGGAATGCCAGTTCGTGTTTTTTTTCTTTCTTTCTTTCTTTTGCATAATGTATTTTCTTTGTTTTACTTTCTTTGTGAAGAGGCTCAGGTGCGTTGTTCCGTAGGGTCTCTTCCGCCATGTTTTTTCGTACTCAGCACAACTTTATAACGGTCTGCTCGAGATTTTTGTTGGGGACGTGACTTATGCTCATATTTCTGTGTTTGTTGCAGGTAAAAGAAAGAATACAGTGTAGGAACATTAAGTGGCTAGAAAGTTGAAGCGTCGGTGGCGGGCCACAGGAAAAGGCCCACTTATCGATTCTTAACACATGTGACCTTGACAGCTGGCGATATTATTGCTTTGCACAACGAATTTCTTGTCTTAGTGCAAACTGTGATATTTGTGTCGGCCGAAGGGAAGGGGTGAATGCCTTCCCGTCGTAAGAGCAAAGAACAAATTACCTTCCTGTTCTGGCTGTTCAGGTGAACAAAGCACGAATTAGATATCCTCGACTCTTTCTTGGAAAAAGTAATACAGACAGTTACATCATGGTTTCAAGAAAATAAAAAACGTCGTTACGTAAGTTGTGGCGAAGACGTCCCCAAGGCAGTCACCAGGCTCCTTACCGCCGAGGTAGACTCGAGTGTGTGATTTTTCCTGGAGCGCAAGACACAAAATAGAACTTTTTCTTTAAGCCGAAGTTATTCTTGTGCGAGTGGCATCGCTGGCGTGAGGCGCGGATCATGCCTGCGGGGGAGGTCTGATAAATTCATGCCTTTGCCCAAGTCCGGGGAGCAGCGCCATTCGCAGTCGAGGAGCGGCAGCGCGTCGGAGGTGCACTTGCTCACCGGCTCGAGGACGAGCGTGTCGCCCAGCCCGCGTACCGAGCGTGAGGATGAGTGCGCGCGAGCCGCCGCGGCCCAGCTCCCTCCCGCGCCCCGCAGCGACGCCGTGATGCCGTAGGACGAGCCATAGTCGGTGCAAGAACATTTCGAGGGCCACAAAGCGGGCACAATATCCTTGGTGGTGAAGTACCGCCCTGCCACCATGAGTCACGGAGAGTCGTGCGCGGGTGTGGTGGGAGCGGGCGTGGGCGTGGGCGGCCACAAGAAGCTGCGGCGGAAGAGGAAGGAGCTGGACGCGCTGGTGCCCGAGGACAAGGTGCGCCGCAAGTCGTCCTCGGCCTCGCACCACGACCTCCTGCGGTCCGACTCCGAGGACCCTGAGGCCGACTACGCCAGCGTGGGCGTCGTTAGCAAGAGGGTGATGGGCGGCGTGGGGCCAGGCACGGGCATATGGGCGTGCCTGCCTGGAGCCTGTACACTGCTCCTGCTTCTCACTACACTCGTGGGCGTGGCCGCCGCCCTCAGGTTGCTAATGCTCACTCGCCGGGACCTGGACTCGCTGCACACCAGGATCAACTCAG